TGAATTTCGTTGGTGCTTGAAAGCATGCACCATTTAGGAGTGAATACTTGACCAACATGAGTGTGAATTGTTTCAGTTGTGAACTCCAAGGGTGTGTCAATCAAATATAATAGAGCTTTGCACTTGTAATAGGGAGTGATTATTATCGGTCCAGCCCCTTCAACTTGAAATGTCTGCAATTCCAAGCTTATTCCAATCCCCCACTTCTTCCTTAGATGAAATTACAATCTGCCATCCCAATTTCCCTTACCCTGATTAACCACCATCTTGCCCACACTAGGGTTGTACATGGGTCAGTTGGGCTCAGCTGAACACAATTCTCTCAACTGAACCAAACCACTCGGGCTGAGGTTTCTACCAACTGAAATCGACTGACTTTGCATGAAAACCAACCTGAAAAAATGACTAGTCAATAATCAATCAAAAAAATGAGTAGTCGCCTAGTTGGTTTCTCAGTTTGGTCGGTTTAAACCCAAGCAACTGTTGATAGTTAAAAAGTCTGCTTGACCTGCAAAAAAAAAGAGCCTGTATGACCAATTAACACTTCTGGATTCTCTTAGAAATAATAGCCCCAATACAAGTGATATGATCATATTTGCAGATTTTACAAAAAAAAAGTATGACTGCAGAAGGTTAAAAAAAAAGTCAGGACAATTCAGACTTACTAAAATAGCATCCTTTTTATGAATAACAAAAAAGATTCATTAAAGAAGCTGAAAATAGTACAAGAAAGCAGTCATCCCAGAGATTGGATGACCAAGAACTAATAAAAAGAAACAGAAAGAACCAGCCCCCAAGCAGCAGTTACAAGTCAAACCCCATAAATAGCGATAATTACATGTCAGAAAAGAGTCGCATCTCCCCAGAATAGATTTTCTCTTTCTACCCCTTGTCTGACCAAGCCATCTGCCAACCCATTTGCAGATCTGTAAACCCATTGAACAGCTATAACTCTGTTTCTTTTGAATTCAGAGATCTCTAAGAATGTGCCTGTACTGCCAAGGGCACCTCCCTGATTGCCTAAGCCAACCCACCACCACCACTTTATAGTCCCCTTCGACAATAATGTTGGTATAATTATTCCTCTTGGTCAGCTTTAGACCCTGTAGGACAGCTAGAACTTCTGCTCTAATTGGTTAAATAGCATTGGAATCCGTCAAATATTAGGCTAGAAGATCTCTAGCCTCAAAAGGAGTGAAAAACAACTTTTTATGAAAAAGACAGACAGACAGAGACAACAGACGTTAAAACTTTTCGCGAGCTAGGCTAGATATTACTTGTTAGAACAGAAACTCTATTTATATAGTTTTTGTCTACTAATACTAGACAACTCTATCTATCTATCTATCTATATATATATAACACATAGTCAGTTCAGGTCAGTTGTTTTTTATTTCCAAACTTAAAAACCGAAACTGAACCCACCATTCGGGTTATACATATTGATGAACCGAAGCCGACCCAAAAACTTTGGAAACCGACCATATCGGGCCAGTTTGCTTTTTTTCTGATAGATAACAAAGACTTTTATTAATAGAAAAAGATACAAAAGGAGGGGTAAAAACTCTTAACCCTCCCAAGAAAGCAGTTCAGATTACAATGTTGCCCAGAAAAAATTAACTCTTCCCACCCCTTGTTTGGCCAATGAATCTGCCAAGGAATTGGCACACCTCTTAGTCCACTGAAACTTGACTTCCATATTTTGTATGAGATGTCTAACTTTCTTCTTTTCATTCAGAAACTTCCACAGACTAGAATCATCCTTCATTAACCAGTCGATAGCCAACTTAGAATCACCTTCCACTATCAGATTTCTGATATTTAACTCTTGAGCTCTTTTTAACCCTTCCAAAACAGCCAACAGCCAATATTTCAGCTCTAAGAGAGTCCCCCCATCCAATAGAACCAGAATACAATGTGATAATTCGACCTTCATCATCCCTGAAAGCTCCCCCTATAACCAACAGACCTGGATTTCCTTCGCTACTACCATCAAAATCTAGTTAAGTGAACCCTGAAGCTGGAGGGGACCAAACTGGGTAAGATACATTCTTCTTTGGAACTGACCAAGCCACTTTTTTCCACTTCCTAATGATATCTCCTTCTGAATAGTTTTCAAAAATTTGCAAAGTCTTAACTGGGACAGTTTACTTGGTCTGGTGATTTTTGTGAACAGCCCTAGCCCACACCCTGAACACTCACTAGGACCATCCGCCCTTCAGCAAGCTTCTTCTTAACTAAGGCATCCTCTTTATGTTGAGTAAACAAAGAATGCCTTGTTCCACATTTCCTTGCTTTGGGAATAATCTTGGAGGACTTTGGACATCTCTTCCCAACCCGAGCTTTTCCTCCCTTCCGGGAGATGCACTATTTGTTTACCACCTTGCCTGAAAACTCAGAAAATGGTAAATATGATCCTTTATTGTTCTCCTTTCTTTCAGCCACATGCCTCCAACTGCCTTCATCCTTCAAGCTCTCCATTTGAGATTTCTGATGGCTGTAATGGCAACAGCAATCCAACTTTTAAACCACCAAATCAATTCTCCAACCAAAAACACAGTAGCCCTTTTCCACTCTCTGATCTCTAAGTATTTGAACCCTTGATCTTTGTCTCCTCAAGAACAAAAGTTCCTGCTTCTATTCTTAGACTTCACCTTCTCCTCAAGAACAAAAGTAATTTTCTCCCATGACTCCTCAAGAAACAATGTCATTTTTCTCCTATGCCATGTCCAAGGATTCCAAAGCAAAACCTATCTCTAGAGTATTATTGTACTTAATACCTGAAGATATACCAAAAGACATTTTCTCCTATGGCTTAAGGAGAGATATTGGCTGGTCCAAATGTCCAATTACTATTGTTGGGGACACCAGGTCTGCACATCAAGAGTGTTGATTAATCCATACTAAACAGATGAATAAAAAATCAAAATAAAAAACAATAAATAAACAGCAAATACTACTCTCCTTAAAATCCACTTCCCAATATGAAGTGGTGCTAGCCCCATTCTCTAGCAATATCATGTAATGACTAATATTAAAGATGAACATAATGAAGTGAAATTATGAACAGTTACACTTCAAAAAAACAATTTGAATAATTTACACTATATCAGGCCCAGGCTTCTGGGCCAGATCCAATGCAAACTTTAATAAATTTTAATCTAAGCCTGCTTAGGCTGACTTCTAATGTAAATCAAGGTGATAAGAAATCATCATAATGATTTAAGATAGCCTTGGATCTAATTGCAATAATCGGGTGTGTATGTGTGTGTGCACGTGAACACACACGTGTATGCATGTGGGAAAAGCATACTTGCATGTATCCATATCTTAGTATCATAGGAAGCTGGAATCTTGTCAACTCCCTTTTACATAAAGGAGTCAAAACTTGACCACATGACTTGAATTTAGTGTGAAGTGCCATTGATGGGACTTTTCAGTAACCTCTTTGAACAAGACCAAGACCTTGTGAACACAATGTAAACCGAAAAAAGACAACCATTTTATTGGCATGAGTTGTAGTCGAATAAGGTACCTCTTTGGTTATTTTGGAATCTATTAAGGACTGGCAATAACCTGTCTAAAATCATTATGGAATTACAGCAATGAAAAGAGAAAATTTAAGTGGCTGACTAAGGATATTGAAATTCAGTACAAATGGGTAAAGAGAAGTGCAAACTCACTGGCAGATGGTCTAGCTAGGCAAGGGGTGAACAGAAACTCTATATTTTGGGCCGTATTGTAATTGTATTTTAGTGTTCAATGATTGTTTTAGGGAGCTAAGATTGTTTAGCCCCCTTGCTTTGTAATTTTTCTTAGTCTTAATTAATACATTTCACAGTTATTGATCAAAAAAAATAACCTGTCTAAAATCTACAAAAGGCCCAAATTTGTAATAGAATGAGATACATTGAATGCAAAGATCCAAGTTTTATAGTTATATTTTCTTCTTTAATCTAAGATCTTGACTATTTCACCAATAAATCCCCTTCCACAATCCATATTTCAACCATTACTAGATTTAAAAGCAGTTCTTTCCTTTCATATTTCAAATCCAAGCCCCCTTTGCACATCACATGCAGTGCTTGTAGGACACCCTACCATCCCAAGGGCTCAGAGCCTTTACCTTGGAACACTTTCAGTTGAACCATGACCTCACAGTCGATTCTTGATCCGCCGGATAGGAAATACCAAGAAGCTTCCCCGAGAAGATTGCCTTGTCTACCTGATTTGTGACACTATCTTGGGCATTGCATACGTCCTCCTTTGGTAACTCACAAGGAAAATCATTCCCCAAGTCACCAACTGGGATTGACTCACCCTCGCTTGGGCTCATTTACAAGCATTGTCGCTTACCAGAGAGATCACAGCTAGGAACCTCGATGCTTCCACAGATATGGTTAGGGACATCTTGGGAAAGGTTCTTCCCACCGCCAGCTGAGGCACCTTTGAGTGCTTCAAAGCGTTGCCAAATAGAGGGCAGGGGAATCAGCCCAGAAAGTTTCCCAACAGAATTAGGCTTCAACACCGGATTGGGCAGGCCCAATCCCATCTCTCTAGGAGGGGTGCACCACAAGAAAAAACAGATAATTCTGTTATATTAAAGATAAATCTCAATACAACATAACTTGGGGGATCAAAGTTCCATTTTCTGTTTTATTCTTGTCTTATCAGGAAAAGAATCAAGAAAAGGTCATGACCAATTTTTGACAAACAACCTACAAAAAAGATGCCAAAAATAAAAATAAAGGGCATCCATAAGTAATATTTAAGAAAGAAAGATTTTCTCCTCCCCCCCTACCCGAATAACCATGTGCTGATTCTGGAGATCCCAATAATGAAAACAAAGGGCATCCATAACCATATTCTGTTAAATAAAAAAATAGCTAATACCTAGGCTGACTACAATGGCAAAATTGAGCTTTAAAAATGAAATGGCATCTAAAATATGAACTATTGATGCAGAAATAGTAACAAAGATAGCATATGCAGATACATACCTCAGGAAGCTCAGTATCAGGTGGTCGTTCCTGAAATTGGACACTGGGTGCATGCCGGAGTTTTGAGAGATTTTCAAGAAGTTTTGTTCTTATTTCATCCAATAACTGACGGGAGTTCTTATTCTCCATGTTACTAGGGGCAACGTGAAGAGTATAATCTGGACCAAAATACTCGTAATATTCATGCTGTGGCATTTTGTCATCAATTTCTATACCAAGTGCTACCGCCGTCTGCTCAAAACATAGCAAAATATTGGAACTCAAAACATAGAAAAAACAAAATATCCAAACTGAAGTGCTACCGCCATCTTGTCAATCTTTTTTTTTTTGTTTTTGTTTATGATCAGCAAAGACAAGGAAATTTTTATCAAGTGAAATTTGAGAATAACACAACATGATGGAGCAACCATCAACCCAAGAACATAAAAGTTTACAATGATGCCCAAAATAGCCGCTGTCATATGCCCCCCTGTTTTGCTAGGGTATCAGCCATACCATTGACAGCTCTGCTCACCCACTTAAATTCAACATTTAAGTCCTTTGAGATACTTTCCACTTCCCTAAAAGCATGCCTAAATGTCCATGGAACATGAGAGCTGCACTTTACCATGAAATGATCAACTTTGAGTCCCCTTCCACCTCCAACTGTTGGAAACCCAATTGCTTTTCTAATCTTAGGCCTTACGAAAATGCCAACAATTTGGCTTTCAAAGAGTTTCCTAGTCCAATAGGCCCTGAATACAAAGCCACCACCATGCTTTCATAATTCCTGAATACACCACCCATACCTGCCAGTCCCAGATTTAGCATAAAGCTCTCCTCAAAGTTCAATTTCAACTTGTTAACTTCTAGAGGCTTCAATTCCATGATCATCCTGCCTTTTTCTTTAGAGGATTGTGCCTCCTCTGTCCAAGATCTTATTCTATCATTCACATACCTGCCAATCAAGGCAGTGTTTTAAAAGCGCAAGGCACAAAAAAAGCGCAAGGGGCAATTTGCGCCCGAGGCGCAAGGTGCAAAAATAAAAAAAAAAATGCTAAAAAGTCGAAAAAAAAAAGTCAGAGAATTCAAAAAATGCAAAAAACAAAATCCAAAAGTTAAACATAATATTAATATAAAATATACTTAAATTTTAAAACAAATGTTTTAAAAAACCTATTATCTGAAATTAGTATACATAAACATAACATGTAAAACATATTCAAATGAAAATTTAAAAATAAAATCAAACATATAAAGCATTTTCAAGCATGTAAAACCCACAATCTCTTTTTTCCTCAACTGCATTACTTCAAGTAGCTAATGCGATGTAAAACAATTGCTTTCCTGATTCTACGAGCTATCTTTGCACCACGTCCCTCAAGGCAAGCCCAAACAAGTACATGTTAGGGTCTTAAATTCTTTAATCCTTTTTTTCATCAGTAACAGAATCAATTCTTTAATGATAAAAGGATAGGTACAAGGCAGGGGAGATAAACTCTCTTAACTCCCCCAAATTAAAATATAAAGATTACATGTAAGCCCAGAACAATTGATTTCTTCCCACCCCTTGTTTAGCTAGTGCATCTGCAAATGAAATAGCACACCTCTTTACCCATTGAAGCCTCACTGTCATGTCTCGGATCCACCATTTGAAGATTCTCTTCTCGTTTAGGTAATTCCACATTCTACTTTCCTCTTTCTGCAACCAATCTAATACCAGTTTTGAGTCTCCCTCAATAACTAACCTCCTTAAGTTGAGCTCCTTCACCTTCTTGACACCTTCTAGAACATCTAGAACTTCAGCTCGGTGAGATTCTCCTTCCCCAATTGGACCTGAGAAGATAGCAATAATCTCACCCTCCTCATTCCTAAAGACCCCTCCAATGCCCAAAGGGCCAGGGTTTCCTTCCATCAAAGTTTAGCTTTAAGAACCAGGAATTGGAACAGTCCATAATGGATGAAAAGCATTCTTCTTGGGAGCTAACCAAGCCACTTCCTTCCAATTATTCAGCAAAGCTGTTGTGGATACATCTTCAAATAGCTTCAAAGATTTTACCCATTGCAGCACCCTTGTGGTGATTAGTTCAATTAGTGCCCCTTTAGACCTTTCCTTGTCATTAAAAATTCTGTTATTCCTTTCCTCCCAAACTGTCCAACAGACTACTGCCCTTGTACTTCTACATAACACCTTTCCCCTCTTCTTTGTCCAACTGCCAACAGCAGAGCCAAAGAGACCTTGAACATCTGGTGGGGAAATCCATCTGCAACCATACAAAGAGAAAAACCATTCCCAAATAGAAGACAGAAAAGAACAATAAACTAATAAATGATAGCAGGACTCACCATCAGCTTTATAAAGAACACACCAATTAGGAGAGAAGCACCAAAAAGGCTTCTTTCTTTGAAGGAGATCGCCAGTGTTAATCCTTCCCAAATAGGCTTCCCAACAGAAAGCCCCAATTCTAGGAGGAATCGGTTTACCCCAAACTTCCTTAACCGGAAATGTTTGCCCAACATTATCAGAATCCAAAGTTAAAACTTTGAAAAAGGAGGCACAAGAAAAAAGCCCAGAAGGGGAGGGAGCCCAAATACGTGAATCCAACTTTGAAAGGTCCAAGCAAACGCCTTGTAATAAATGAAGAAGAGACAAAAGACTGTTTAGATCGAAGCCCATGGTTCCTCTTCTAAAACCCAAATCCCACGTAAGCTCAAGACCCTCAGCGAGGTATGAGAGGAAGGTGGAAAATGGTTCATTTTTGTAATCAGATAAGGCAAAGAGAGAGGGGAAACGATCCTTCAAAGACAAATCCCCCACCCACAGGTGTTCCCAAAATTTTACCAAATACCCAAAACAAAGATTATGCCGGATAAGAGGAAGGAATGAAGGAAGGATGGCATGTATAGATTTCCATGGAGAGGCACTAGTAGCTTGAGCCAATACTCCCGCATCCCAACCTTCAACCGTCAACCCATGTATACTGACAATCACCTTGGCCCACAACCTCTCCTTTTCTATTGATAACCTCCATAGCCACTTCCCTAACAAAGCCACACTTCTTTTCTGAATATTACCAATTCCTAGACCTCCAGAGTTCATACTTTTGGTTACAATTTCCCGATTAACCCTCCAGAGTTCTTAAATTCTTAATTCCCACATAAAAATGATGATTTTATAACTTTAATTGCCTTTTAAGAAGATATCTTATTGCAATGAATGACAAACAACATCAGCAAATAAGGGGTTCTAAGCGTGAAATTTTCAAAAGGCGCATGCCTAGACTGAGGCTCAAGAAGCACCAGGCATGCACCTTTTGAAAGGGTTACGCCTAGTACCTAGGCGAGGTGCATACCCTAAAATACGGATAGCCAGTGCACCTAGGCACACCTTTTAAATCATTGAACCAAGGTTTAACATTTCGACACAATACACTCCAAACAGGGTGTATTGTATCGTATCTTTAAATGGTCAACATGAGAAATAGTGGCAAATCGGCTGTCATATTTTTTTCCACCGTATCGAACCATATTAGAAGTGTTTCAAGCATTTCAGTGGCAACCAATATGCCACCGATACTATAGTGCATTGGTCGATATGCTACAAAAATGATATGGGCAAAAACGAGAAAAAAAAATAAAGGGGTTCACCCCCAAACCACTCTAGAACTCTAAAGCTCATTCCCAAATTGCTAGATGTGCAAAAAAAAAAACGCAAGAAACAAATATGAATCATCAAGATCTTTGAAGATTTTTCAAGTTTTGAAAAATATTGCGGAAATGGATAAGTTTTTTCAATTTTTCCATAATATCTTGTAATTTCTTTTTTTTTTGGCTTGAATGCTTAGAAATGTTTAAATCCATGTTGATTTACATTGCTTAAGTTGAAAATCACAGTTCCTTTGGTTTTCTGAGTAGATCTATGAAAATTTTATGAAGAAATCACAGTTCCTAGCAAGGGGAAGCTAGGGAAGTTCTGTATTGGGCACAATTGTAACTTATTACTTTTGTTTTCTTCTTTAGTGGAGAGATCGCAGCTCGTGCCTCTCCAAGGGCTGCTTGTATGTGCTATTTCCAAATTAATAAAAAGATCATTTATTTATTAAAAAACAAAATATATATATAAAAAACAAAAAATTTAAACATGAAGAAATTATGGAATCGAAATCAGAATGAGCTATTTTGATTCCAACTGTTTGGTTGGACGGAATCGGAATCCCATTCCCATTCTTGTTGGAATGGCATTCCCCCATTTGAGGGAATGGCCATTCCCTGCCCCTCCCTTTGGAATGAAATCCCATTCCTGCTGATTTCAAATCCCATTCCCATTCCTGTCTGAAACCAAACAAACTATGGGAATGGACCATTCCAATTCCGATTCCGATTCCGGTTCCAGAGGATTTCAATTCCAATTCCAACTGCAAACCAAACAGACCCTAAATATATTGTAGATTTATGAATGATCTATCATATCCATAGAGCAATTAAAATTTCCTCATCAATATTTTTTTTATTTTTTCTAGTTTTCATAAATAATTAATAATCATATTTGTTATGATCTAACTATAAGGATTTTTTTGGTATTTACCATAAGGATTGACTATACTGTAGATCTATTGATGATTTATCATATCATATATAAATTGAAATTTCTTGTACAATTTTTTTTTATTTTTTTTTATTTTTTTAATATTTTGAATTAAAAAATAGATAATAATTATTTAAATAACAAATAACTATTAATTATATTTTCACCAAGAAGTTGTGCCAACACATGTTTTATGGTTGGATAGGATAGTTAGGCTTTTCCCATACACTAAAACTTAAGAATTATAATTAAGCATTGGTTTTTCAATGAAAATTTGAAAACCAGATGGAATTATACAAAAAAAGGTATTAATATATTCTATGATATGAATCATATGATAATACAACTTTATGATTTCTATTTAATTAAAAAAACAAAAATTGTTATATACATAAACCCAATATAATTTTACGTTAAAATTTTAATTTTAAATTTTTTATTTTTAAAATAAAAATAAATAAAAAATAACCATTTAAATACCAAAAGAATAATCACTTTATTTCTTGTGAGTTGTGAATGAATTACAATTTTGAAGTGTTTTCCAATTAATTTTTATGGTCGATTTACGAACTATGATAATTAAATTAATTGGATCACTTACAAGTCTTGGATATTTGGAATTTCGTCTTCTAACATGGTACCACCTAGAAGGGAAGAAGAACTAGATATTGGATGGAGATATGGTACAAGAGTGGATGAAAATAAGCTCCACACAAAATGTAATTATTCTGGGCTCAGTTGTAATTTTGGTTTTTTCACTTTGAGGGCTCTTGCCTCTGTTAGGGGGAGTTAAGAAAGTTTATCTCCCTTTCTTTGTAATTAATTATTCTGTTTGATTAATGAAATCTTTGTTATTGATCAAAAAAAAACATACAAAATTCAAACCAATTTATATAGATATAAATATATGTGTTTAAATATTATCAGATTGGATCATATTAAATCAGATAGGGGTGTATCCATTTGCAGTTCTGCACCAATTATAAACAGATTGAATTAAGATCTCCCTTAAACAGATCAAGTTTGAAACCGAGTTCAAACAAAAGATATGGTTTGCAGCCCTACTAAGCAATGCCTTGATAACTATGCTTCTATCACAATTTCAAGAACTCATGACGATACATGCATATCCAATCATAATGCAAAACAAAGGATGTAGGTAAGCCACACCTCATAGCACCAGCAGCGAGCAACATTCCGAATGGTATAACCACCACCACCCAACAGCAACAGTGGGACATTAAATGATCTCATATATCTGACACACTCTGCATGACCTCTGATGGAAAGATTGAAGCAGCCTAACCTGTCCCCAGATAAAGAGTCAGCACCACACTGAAGAACCACAGCACCAGGCCTAAAAACTTCCATCACTTTGCCGATTATTGGTTTGAACAAGGACTGGTAACTCTCATCATCAATCCCATCATCTAGAGGGACATTTAGGGAGTAGTATTTTCCTTTTCCATATCCAATATCACGTATATCTCCGGTTCCAGGGAAGTAATCACCAAATTTATGAAATGAAACAGTCATAACCCTGTCAGTTGTATAAAATGCCTCCTCGACACCATCTCCATGGTGGATGTCGATGTCAACATATAGAACACGCTGTAACATGAATGATGAATACAGATAAGTTTTAATAGTAGTCTTTTAAATTCATAGCATTATTTAAAATGGCCTAAAAATGTTGATATACCTCATGCTGTTTAAGAAGTTCTAAAATTGCCAGCACAATGTCATTAACATAACAAAATCCAGAAGCTTCACACTTCTTTGCATGGTGAAGCCCACCAGCCCAATTAACAGCAATATCACAAAGCCCATGGTTTAGCTTGACAGCACCACCCACTGAGCCACCAGCATAAGTCTGACAGAAGGAGTAGAGGCCATCAAACACAGGGCAATCTTCTCCAACATTGAACCTCTTTAGTTGCCTTATCTGATCCTGCTGTGTTTCTGGAGTTATGTTTCTCAGAAAGGCCACATAATCATCAGCATGAAACCGGCAAAGATCCCTGTCTCGAGCAGGAAAGGGCTTCAGGACCTGCATATGTTGAAGCAATCCATAATGCGCAAGGAGAGCATGGGTCATCCTAATCCTATGTGGCTTCATTGGATGGCCTTGCCCATAGTAGTAATTACCAACTTCTGGATCATAGAAATATGACACCTTTCTCTTAACTGCATCAGGTCCAGATTGAAGAGAATTGCCTCCAATTTCCATCGGTTAATCTAGTGTAAAGTTAGCAATGGAGTTTAACAAACAACTGATTAAATAGGGAAGCTTAAAAATAAGAGTATAAACCAATAGAATACAATCAAAAGCAAAATATTTATACATATAGGGAATACAAAAGCCTCATTTTCGTTGCTACCTACTTAACAAAGTGGTATAGATACTACTCAATTTGAACAGGACTGTAACAAACCATATAGGAAATTTATCTTTTATCGCACTAGCAAACATGCATATGTATTTGCACCTGGAAATTCATAAAAATTACTAAAAAACAACTATTGCTAACAATGACCAAACTCCTAAGTTCCTTGAAATGACTTCATTTCTGACCCTAACCTTTTTAGCTTTTTCACCCACCCATCTCGGCATGCTAATTTCTACCACACTCATTTTTTGGACATGTTTCTTGCCTGTCCAACGCTTTGTATCATACAACATTGCTGGCCTTACAACTATTTTATAGAATTTTTCTTTCAACCTAAGCAATATTCACCTATCACATAAAACTCTATATTACATGAACTATTGATTAAATGCCAAATAAAAAAAAAAGAGAGAGAGAGAGAGAGAAAGGAAACTGTTACACAAAAGTGTCCCTCAAGAATCATATAGTGTTGAAATCTGACACATGTCAGACTGTAACGTGGACACTTCACATGTGTTTTGTTCCGTGGACGTTTTGTGATAGGCATTTATCAAAACGTCGCCACATAGGCACCACTTCAGCATTTCCCCCATTATGCGGATCCACACGCATAGAGACTTGCAAAAGCAGGCCTTGACTTATGTGCACACATACTGTTGGGGGAAGCTTCATTTTAGCGCTTCCCCCAACGAGTAGGTGTTTATTCACTGTTTTGCTTATGTGGTGCCTAATGGCACCTAGCGGCGCCTGAGTGCCAATAAACGGGTTCATCATTGATTTTCTCGGCTTTGCAAACAAACCAAGTACAACCATTTAGTGAATAAACGCCTAGGGTTCCAAACACATACTTCATCCATTTAGAATAGTCCATGCAACTCTACCACAAGGTCCACAGTATGACCGAATCATTCAGAGTATTTTGCTAATTTCTCAATGAAGTTCTAGGATATCCAAAAAATCACTTTCATGTAGAATATCGGTGTATATAGATACAAATATTCAAAATTGCCTATTATCTCGTATACGAAAACGGCAATGTTAAAATAAAATACATGTAATCTTGCACAAAGGGGGGGCGCTCCAAAAATGCTTTAAACGGAAAACTGAAACAGATAAAAAAAGAACTGGGGAAAAAATCGCAATATAGTAAACTCTGACGCAAGGAAACCCCGAGAATCAACCGAATAAACTTGATTGAACTTCGATAAAAATGAAATAAAACCCTAGATTCCTACAACTAGTACATTATTACGAAAACCCGCCAATATGGCCATGAAGTGAACATTATAATCAAGTAAGGATCTCTAGATTCACCAAAAATATCAACTAGACTTAATACACAAATATGACAACATAAACTGGCCTATATAAGAATAAACAGTTCGAACAGCAAAAAAAAAAAAAAAACAAGAAGGGAGGGAAACACGCAAGATTTGATGCAGGATCCATATGAAAAAAATACAAAATGGACGTCGTATACAAGAACAAGCTCATCTTTATAAGAAATCAACACACACGGCAATAGATAGGAATTAGAGAGGAAACTAGTGAACACACATAGCGAGAGAGATAGCCGAGACAACCTCCGGGACGCTCAAACTCGTCGACCGCCAGGGACTAGAGAGAAGCAGCCTGAGAAGTGGAAAACTGAAGAAAAACCGAATGCACCTTACCATCTATTTGCCTGTTTGCCAAAGCAATGTCGCCATTGGACCCGACCCGACTAATCGGACTATGATTTTTTGCAAGGACTAGCGGAAAGGCGTGCCCGTGCGACGTTAGGGATTAATGTCCCCTTCCGAGAACAGCTTGGTCATGTCATAAAAGTTAGTAATTGCAATAATCTCCCCTAAACTTTCTAACTAACAAGGTTGCAAGTAGACTTATTCTCACGTTAAATATTTTATTTAATGTATTATTTATTTAATAAATTATAATAATTAGGTCTCTATCACACTTTTTAACAATATGAGGCTTGAAAACCATATTTTTTAAAGGGTAAAATGCTAAAACCTCTCCAAATGTTCATCGCCATTAATGAAACTTCACCTAAAGTTTGGTAAGTGCAATCACCTGCCCATAACTTTCTAACACGATTGCAAATTAGACCATTTTCTTGCAATCCTCTAACAAAATGCATGAAAATGTCAAAAATAATCATTTAGTTACATTGACTAAAATGTTTATTTCCCAAAATTTCTCTTCATATCAATCACTACCCAAACCCTTCCAATATATTTTTCAAAAATTGATTTATTTTATAAATTTTCCCTGTATATGAATCCCTCAAAGGTAAAGTTGTAATTTTAAACTATATTTATTTTGTTGTTCATAAAGTTTGTATTGTTGGTTATGCAATAACCAATCTCAATAGTAACAACATAGGTATTTTGGACATTTGTTTGCCTCTTGTTAGAGTATTCTAATAGTGGGGGTTTAATTGCAACTATATTAGAAAGTCAAGGGAGGTGATTGCAATTATCAATTATAAGGGGAGACTTCAACAATGATTATAAAAACTTCGTGGGAGGTTTCAACAATTTGACCCTTTGTTAAAAAAAAAGGCGAAACCATTCGTCCATCCAAGTGGTGGGTGTGTCAATTCAACCATATGGGTCAATTGGTTGAATCCATGATGTCATATTTAAATAATAAAACAAAATATTTAAAATAGAAACAAGTTCACAAAATAAATAAATTGATAATTTCTCTAGTATTTTACATTATTCACATTAAAGAAAAATAACAGTCGTAAACAATAACTGTTTTATTGATAATGGATATGAAATAAAAATTTTAAAACCAACCAACAAATGAAATTGATTTCTTGTTTGGTTCAAGTACACTATTCAACTTCCAGGTAAAATGTGTCAATATTTGATGTCATAATTAAATAGTAAAAATGAAAAAAAAAAGAATAACAAAAAAATGTGCATCTCTAATATTGTATATTCATCATATTAAACAAAAATAAGTGCCATAAATAATAATTATTTTTGTCCACGTGGAAATATAAAATGTAAAAAAATGAAAATGAACTATTGTTTTCACCTCATTAAAATCCCTCTCATTAAGTCATCTATTTAAGATGCTAACGCCAATTATTTCTAATTAAATGATATATATGAGATATTTTCTAATCAATAAATTCAGTTATTAGATATATATCCAATATTTTTTACAATATAAATCTCACTTTTCAAAATTGAACAAAAAAGATAAAATTACCCTTTTGTCTAGGTGGTGAGTAAGCAATTTAGTCATCTAGGCCAAATGGGTCAATCCATTAATAATAAAAATTAAAGAAAGACAATGACACAAAAAACACATAATATTTGTAGAAAACATTTGGGACATATCTAATATAGAATTATTTTATACACATGGAAATATATAGAAAATTAAAATAACTTGGATGTGTATTACCATCTTCATCATCAATAAATATTTAAGATATTATTTATATTTTAGTTTTTATTTAAAGTAAATTTATTGTTTAAAATTAGCTTTAATTAAGAAACTTTGGGACTTGGGTCCATACGAGGAACCCATCTCTATTGGCTAAAGGAGTGCAAAGTATTTTTTATCCGTGGTAGGTATCATGGTTGGGGACAATGATTTCTTCCAAAATCAAGGTCGGGATGGGGAATATGATATCTACTCTGTTGTCATTCTTATCCATGCAATTCTATGAATACCATGGTGTTTGGAAGCGTGGGTGCTTTTTGGGAGCGATTTTCAAGAAAAAACGCCCATGCTTCCAAGACCCGTTTTTCACAAAAAAAAATGCTTCTACCACGTAGGCAGTGAGCAAATACTATACTGTTTGGTAAGGTGATTTTCATCACCGTTTTTCATGTATGTGCTAAAAGGTAAGCACCACATAAGATACACATTAGTCAACCATTGGGGGGAATGGTTCACCGATGCATGAAACGCCAAACATCCCCGTTTTTTAATAATCGGTGGGGTCCCAATTTTTTAATAATTGGTTGAACCAAACAATGAGATACATGGGCGTTTGTTGAAACACCTATGTGGATTTGATGTGGCACCATTTTTTTAAAAAACAGCCATGGTTCCAAACATCCCCATTCAACTCCAGCCTCCAAGGCGTAAAGCTTCCACACACCCCAGCCTCAATATGGCAATACCATGTAGCTATCCTCAAAGGGGCTTAAAAAAATTTAGGGTAGGCATAGGATAAATCCAACTCATATATTAAATTTATTAAAATGTCCCTAATAATTATAATTAAATTACCAACATAAAAATGGATACGTCTTGAACTTTATTTGAATGATAATTGATAGTTTATGTATTTTTTACATGTTGCAGCTTGCAATTAAATCATTGAACATTTATTGTGTTTATTTTTATATTTTGTTTTTTTGGTTGCTTGTACATAACACGAAATAACAAAAAACATTACGTGTGGGTTTTGGACCTAACTAACCCACCCTACCTTCAAATGCGATGATGGTAAGGTTAGGGAAGGATTTTGGATTTTCATGTGTGCGGATGATTTGGATAATAAGAATCAAACCTGTAACAGGTTTCAGGGAAGGTAGGGGTTAAGATACTTAGGGAGGTGGTATGAGGGTACTAAATTTACAAAACCCTTCCTGCACTTTTGGGTAGTGATATTTAGTTTCCAAAACTTTCATTCGTAAAAAGGACTCGCCCTAAACTTTCAGATTTAGCATTTTGTCTCCACAAAGCTGATGGGCATAATGTAGAGGTGATCATTTTAGCTCAACCCAAAAATTTCGGGCTTGGGCCTGGGTTTTGCGTTCAGGCCCGGCTTGGTTTTATGTTTAGGCTCAGTCCGGGTCCGGGCCCACATTAGGCCTGCAAATTTTAGGACCGGGCTTGAGCCCGGCCCAGCCCGCATATATTTAAACTTACACATTTTGTGTATAATGTATACATGTTATTTTACATTATATTATATTATATATATAAATATTATAACATGACATGTATAATTTATATTATATAATATATAAAATAAGTTTATATACATGTTATGTCATTTAATATATAGATATGTAATGTTTTACATATTAGTGACATCGACCCGGGCCCGTATAGACCTGGGTTGGGGCTTATGTTTTAGGCGCATAACCCCAAGCTTGGCCGGGCCCGGGCCCGGGCCTAAGCTATAACCCTTAACATAAGTGCAAAGCCCGGACCGGCCCATGATTACCCCTAGCATAGTGGTAAAAACAAAATTACAAAAGTGTTGATTAAAAAGTACAGGTTCTCTGTAATTTTCTTTACGATCCCAAACAACGCCTAAAAGTTTAGAGTGGTTCTTGGTTGTACCATTTCCAATATATATATAAAGAAGGAAGTCTAGGAATTTTCTCTTTTTTTTTTTGGGTAAAATACAAAAACCTTCATTTCGTCATTGATTCAGATGGAAAACATTAAAATGATGTAACTACAATCTAATCATCAAGATTGAAATCTATTTTCACGAAGTTGTGCATAACCACTAAATTGAAATCTATTTTCACGAATGAACTCATCACTCTCGAAGTGACACAAGGGTTCAATCTATTGCTTGTTTTCATTTCTTTTAAACTACAGTCAGCCAACGTTGTGAAGTGTGAACCTAGTTCTATTTCAACTATCCATCAAGTTGAAGGGCATATCAGCAACCTCCACATCACAACAGGGACACAATCATCACTTTAGCCAGATCTTTTGAAACCAAGCAAGAGTGAGTGTTTGCAAAGGAAATAATCTTCGTTTTTAAAAGAAACCTGAATCTAGACTCTTTGCTGATCAGGAAAAAAAAATATAGGAGTTAAACATAGGCTAAGGTTCAAGGATGCATAAACAAAAACCAGGAAACACAAGGAAAGAACAACAAACTACCAAAAATGTGACTCTAATTGAAACTTGCATTGTGATGGAGAGCTGATAGAGCTTACTGTCAATGAGAGCTAAGGAAATATGGTAGGTGGAACTAAGCAATACCGACACACAATAGCCACGAACATTGACATCGTTGCTTGTATGGGAGATAGAGAAGGGAGGGAGTCTGGGATGCTTCGAAGTAGAGGGGGATTCATCAACTTTTATGCATGCCACCCAAAAAAGAGGGGGGTACAAGACATATTCTTTGATTTGCAAGTCAAATCTTTACGAAGTACCTCAAAAAATAGGGGAGAACACTTTACTATCAAATCCAAAACTTGACAAGACCACGCAAGTAGATAAATGTGAAAAGAATCATAAAAACCTATGTCCAAACTCCCCCGAGAGAGACACTGATAGACCACCAATCAACTTGGAAAGAGAAAGGAATTTGAAAAGGGAAAAAATGATGAAAGATCGAAACGAAATCTGTTGGAGTTCAAGGACAGGAAAAGAGGTCGAAGGGAGATTTTGAATGAAATACTTAAAATGATGCATAATTTTACAATGGGTAAAATAGGTATTTGAAAGAATTGATACATTGGTTTAACGTTTTCCATCTGAACCAATGACAAAAGGGAGGTTTTTGTCCAAATTTTCAAAAGTTTAAGGGAGGTTTTTATGTTTATCAAAAACTTAAGTGGAGGTTTTTGTATTTTACCCTTTTGTTTTTCATTCCATGTCATGTTTGAAACAACCAATGAGATGCTCTCCTTCATCATAAAAATTACCTAAAATCTCTCTCTCTCTCTCTCTCTCTCTCTCTTCCACACACACGTTTCCAATAACCCAAATAATCTCCTATTCTAAAATTTCTCCTAAA